AATATATGGATACTTTTATTCTCTAATTATTTTGGAAAGAACTTTTCTTCTCCATTCTCGCTCGAGCAACATCATTACTCTGCATTACACGAATTTATTGCTTGACAGATATCAAGTAGCTTATTTAGAAGCAGTTGAAATTAAAGTCGTGACAAGTTTACACATATTTCAGGGTGCATTCGGGGAGCACGCTATTAGCACAATTATCGTCCACAACTGTTTGAGGAGACGCTTTGTGGCGCTGTGATATACGATGATGACGTCACTGTAAAGGCAGCGTGACGTCATCACTCGCGCTATTTTCGCTATTATTTTCGAGGTGAGGCACGAAATACTATTGGCGCTTAAGGTGATCCTAAAGCCGTGATCCTAGCCGGTTTTTTTCTTAGCACTAATCTTTTAATTGGCTTTATAGAAATGCAAAATTCTTGTCTAGAATTAAAGTACGCATCAAAATCTAGGTCATGGTGGTCGAATTTATATGTGGTGGTCGTCACGTATAACCAAAAATATTAATTTTTTTTCGTTTTCGATATAAATTCGACCACCGTCTCCCCGAATGCACCCTCAATCATTCAAGTAAATGTTTTATAATAGCGTCTCCCCGAATGCACCCTCAATCATTCAAGTAAATGTTTTAAGAAATTGACCAATCACAGTCGAATGTGAGAAGAATAATCGACTGTGATTGGTCAATTTCTTAAAGATTACGGCTTATCAACGGTTACGGCTATTATAAACCAGCCCTAACTTCAAGATAGCAATAGATTTGTTCCCACTATGGCTACGATCAACGTGACGTTACAAATGCTTCGAAGCATTCCTCTTCTCTTTTCTTTCAATGAAGAAAGAAAGAGAAGAAGAACGCTCCAAAGCTTTTACAGGCTGGATTCGGGGAGCGCGCTATTAGCGCTATTTGCTTATTCTATCCTTGTTTTACATCTGATGAGCGATAAAGACAGAATGATGCAATAGCGCTAATAGCGCGCTTCTCGAATGCAGCCGTAGCGTCACGTTGACCGTAGCCTATGGGTGCATTCGGGGAGACGCTATTAACGCTATAAACGCAAACGCTATGAACTTCGTTCGAAGAGCCAATAGCGCGACAGCGATAGCAAGCTCCCCGAACGCAGCTTAAGCGCCAATAGTATTTCGTACCTCACGTCGAAAATAATAGCGAAAATAGCGCGAGTGATGACGTCACGCTGCCTTTACAGTGACGTCATCATCGTATATCACAGCGCCACAAAGCGTCTCCTCGAACTAGACGATAATTGTGCTAATAGCGTGCTCCCCGAATGCACCCTATATCACATATCACATAACCTCAAACACGAACTACGGGCCACGCCCCACGGGCACGTTGAACGTGTAGATCCTCCTAGGAGAAACAAGCAAAGCGATACAGTTCAACCAAGGCTGAAAGTATTTCAAATGGCTAATACTGGTACTTCAACGGGTAAGTTCATCTTATACTATTGTAAATCGTATTACTTGTGTAACATCTTTGCTGAATGTGAACTTTATCTGGGACGTTTAGGCGCGAAATCGACACCTGATCCAGAGAAATGTAGACTCATTCAGCAACAGTTGGTGCTACTTTTGCATGCACGTAAATGTCAACGACGCGAAAGCCAAGCAAACGGCGAGATGAGACAATGTACCTTGCCGGACTGCGAAACTATGAAAAATATTCTAAATTGCATGACGAATTGTCAAGCCGTAAAGAATTGCACCGTGCCTCACTGTAGCATGTCAAGGCAGATCATCAGTCATTGGAAGCATTGTAATCGAAGTGATTGTCCGGTTTGCTTGCTGATAAAACAAGCACAGAACAGGACAATTTCTGCGCAAGGTAATTGTGCAAGAATATATATCTTACATCTTAATATTTCGGCGATGTATATTTATGTTGTATGTGTGTATTATTTTTATTAGCACCCGCAATTCAATTAATTAACATTTAATAAACAACAAGGATGAAATTTATTGCGTTACTCTGTATTGTCTGTTTCTCGTTGGAATGCGCCGTAAAATGCATACACGTCACATAGTTGTACACGGTTCAATTAATTTTTTGAGAAGTAACCGAGTCAGATTCTTTTCTTTCTGAGTTAATCTGTACCTAAATTCTAAGAGCGATTTATCGAATGACGTAGAGGAAATACGGAACCGCAGACATAACACAGCAACAGTAGCAGCAGCAACTCCCGGGTACGACTGGTCATCTAGAAGGCGTCACAGGGAATTTGGGCTCTATTTGCCCGACTGACCAAAATGAAGTCATTCACTAAGTATGAGTAAACTCGGAACGATATC